CAGCAGCAAACAACAACACTAATTAATAGAGAACAAAACGAAAAGAAAAAAAAAAGAGAGAAAAGAAAAGGAAAAATCGAGCTACAAATAAATACGAGATAATCGAAGTTCGAATCGATCGGTCAACGAAGGAAGAAATTCCGTCAGCAGATCTGGATCGTCGTGCCACGTTTCATCACGTGCGTCTTCGTCGGGGATCTTATGATTTCGTTCGTCCATTTCGACCGCCCTTCCCGGATCCTTGTTCTTCTCCCTTCGCCCCCTGGAACAGTCAGCTTCTCGAAGATTGATCTCGATCGACGCGCACGCGATTCCCTTTCTAACTTTGTTTAGAAAAATAGAGAGAGAGAGAGAGAGAGAGAGAGAGAGAAAGGCGAAAGAAAGAAAGAAAGATAATTGAAACTACAACAAGGATAAAGACACACGTCGCCGGTTCTCCACGAAGATAATTCAGTGTGCGAGATTGGTGTTTGAAAGTACAGAGAGAGCAGGAATCGTCGTCCGGAAGATCCTTTAATCGAGAGAAGAAGCACTGTGGAAAAGGAAAAAAGGGAAACGGAGATAGAAGGAGAGGATAATAGTGTTGGCCGGTGGGAGTGAAGGAGAGAGACACTCGGAGGGTGTGTTCCGCGATTTTCTTCCCTTTTTCTTTTCTCTTTCGTTTCGCCGATACATTAAGAGATCAAGTGTTACACGTACGTGCATCCTGCAGGTTCGATCGTTCTAACAAAATATAGACTGTAATCCGCCGTTGTCGTTGCCGATCGAGGAAAGTGCAAGAGAGATACCTCGAGAAGGACTCGTAATTTCGTCGCCGTGATTTGGCAGACTCGATCGTTTAAAAATTGATAAAAAAAAATCACCGCGTAAAAACACGGGCACGGTTCAGAAAAACAAGACGAATAAAACGAACAAACAAAGAAAGAAAACGGAAAAACGAAATACGCACACGTCGCTTCGTTTAAAAAGCTAAACGTTAAACAAAGAACGAGCATCGTTCATGAAATAACAACGAAATGAAAATCTAGCGATATAGATAATATATATATATATTAAAAAAAAGAGAGGCAGAGATAATTCTTCATTTAAAAAAAAAAACTAATAAAAACGAAAAAAAAAAAAAATAACATTAACCTACCGTCGTTTCGTTCTACGCCCAGATATCGGCATCCTCCAACCACTGATTTTCATCGTTAACCGGTATGTTCATTTGTTTCTTTACTTTTGTTGCTTCTGTGATTCTGACGTTCGAATTATTATTATCGTTCTATTCTTATCTTGTTATTATTGTTGTTATTATTACCGTTATAATTGCAAACATTATTATCGATCTCTATGTATGTCTCGATCTATGTGTTTTGGTAGCGCGCAGTCAGGTGCCGATCATTATAATATATGTTTGTAACCCCCTTTGCCGGAGCATCCTTTATACAGGACCAATCGAAGGATCCTTCCGGCAGCCATGATCATTTATCGAACTTGTTTTTCTCGCGTTCTCTTGGCTGATCAAGGGTGTTGCTTTCTCCCACCACATTGCTTCGTAGAAACATACATTTCAAATTTTCGTTCTCAATTCGTTTTAAATTCATTTCAATTCGATTCCAATTGATTTCAATTTATCATATTACTGTACTAGAGAAAGAATCGACCGGGCTTGGAGCGGAAAAATTTGAAAAAAAAAAAAAAAA